ACGGCATGTCAATTTAATTGTTTAATATAATATATTCTTTTAAGAACCATTTGAGCTCGATACAGACCCTGTATATTGTTTTAATTTTAATTTGTAAAAGATATGGTTTTTATACACAGAAAGAACGACTCTTTTGAATTTAATAATCCGATTTGTTTGATTCATATTTGTCGCATTCAAACAACATAATTTTATACCAAACTACAAATTTGTTGAATGAAAATTATATTGTTACGTTAAAATAAATCAAATTATTTGACGGAAACAATAGAAATGTTTGAAATAATTTATTTCAACGAAATAATAGTTTATTTGGTTTTAATAAGCATTATATAAAAAAAAATCATTTTGTAACATAAATATAACATAAAATATATTTGATTTAACTATAGCATTGTTTGAGACAAAAAATGTCGCGTTGTGATTGTTTAAAATTGTACTTTAAATTATAAGAATAATAAATAATTAATAATAATAAGAGTAATATTTTTTATATCCATTGTTGCAGATACATTGCACTGCAATATTTTTAATAAAATAATAATTTAAAGAAATAATAAATAAAATGCGTATAGAATAGCTTGAGAATAAGTAGATAAAAATAATCACATTTTAATAAGGAACAAGTAGTCTTTGCGGACTGAGTGCAAGAGCTGCGAATACGATAGAGGCGTATCGAGTTCGAATCCCCCGCTTATCACTTTAAGATTTTTTCCAGTCTCTTTCAATGAAGTTTCTCGGTTGACTGGCAAGCTGAAATCGGGCCTCCAAAAATTACTTCAAGTAAAATCTCGAAGTTGTGTAAAAGCGCAAGCCGCGAAAAAGTTTTTTCTTATTGAAGTTTTAGATTTATTTAACTTAACAAAATACTTTGTTTGAGATTTAAACAATCGGAATGTTTAGTTCAAAATCAAAGTTGTTTGGACTATTCCAATGAAATAATTTGTTTGGATTTAACAAAATTTGGTAAATCTAAAGAAACCTTCTCTCTGTGTATTCTGTAAAAGTTCTTAGGATGTCCTACACATATCCTGTAAGAATCCTTGGAACGTCCCACATATATATATATATATATATATATATATATAATAGCCTAAGGATAATTCAGGGTCTAAAAATGGCGCTCATTTGCTCTTCCTCAGGACATCCAGAGGAGATCCTGGGATTAAAATAGGATATCCACAGGATATCTGTTTCGTCCGTATAAGATGTTCTTTGGATTTTCAGAGGACGTCCATGTGCTATTTGGGGGGCCGCGCTTAGCGAGATATGGCAGCTGTAAGAGGTCCCGAATTCAAATCCTAGACGAGTTCCCAAAAATTGTTACAACCGTCACGTAACTCGCAGCCTCCGAATAAAGACACAAGAACTCTCAAGAAACTTTTTTAATCTCAATCAGAAACGTTCTAATTCGTACAGATTTACAATCTTCGCGCGTTCAAATCGCATCGAAAACCGAACCAAATCTGTCAACACCAAATAACCGTTGTCAGGAGCAACTCTCCTGTCTTCTTTCTTCTATATGAACGGCACAGCAATACCGGGCGGCAGTAACAATATCTATATTATTATTGCAAATATTAAGTTTTTACGTGTAAAAGACGTAATAATGTTAGAACTGAATAATAGATTTTTTGCAATAACTACCTATCGAGAACTAACGATTTCAGCATAATCACAAAAAGTTTATTGCAAGTCGTTTTTCATCTTGTGTAAATGTTAAAACTATCTTTCTTAACTAGAAATCTGCAATATATTTATAAAAAATATACATGTATTTAATGAACACCTCTTTATATTATTATGTATTTTTTAAATGTATTTTTTGTTCATTTTTTACTTATATTTATCTGAGTCTATAGTATAAGTGCCGAGTCTAACTGCGCATAAAATAACATTTTTTTAACAGACATAAGACGTAACTTGTTAGATACTCATTAATGCAGCTATTATGATAATTAAAAGATAAAGGCACTTCCTAACAAAATTCTATAATTTGTAGCAAGTATAGTTTTTTTACGATCAGTAAATAAGAATATTCCAAATTCAACTACTAAACGGCGGCTTGGCTAGTCCATCGCGATTAGAAAAAGTAAAGCATGAAGAAAATAATCATACAATTACTTCAGTTGTAAAGTATATCTATATGAAATTTATCCACGTCAAGATCGATTAAGAAATACAGACATTTAAAAAGAAGATTAAACCAATTCTTATTTAAATGCGTGCGAGACATTTTAATATATTATTATTTACTTAAAAATAAATTACAAGTATAGTTTTTTTTTAAATTGGCTTTTAATTACATCACCTCGTATGAGATTTTCCTAAAAACATAATCTTCCAAAGAACATACATTGAGGAACATACAACTTTTTTCATATGTTAGACTTGTTAAAACTCACTTCTATTTCTTGCACTTAATAATGATAATATGCATTTGGATATAAAGATGCAAGTGAATATGGCATAATTATTGAACGCGACGATTATTATCACGTCGCGTAAACAGTTTCAAAGGTGAAGCTCGATTTTTTACGATAATTGCTATCAGCACAATTTCAACAGATCGCGAAACAATTATCTTTTTGCGGGACGGAGCATATGTAGATGGAACTTGTCACGCACATTGCGCAAAGTTAGAAAACTAAATTTTTGAGTTTGCTTTCAATATTGCGAGCAATAAGTTTACCTTCACTTTCCATGACGATCTCTCGCCGTAATTCTCTCTGCATAGTATGCAACGCATAGACGCATGCAAAACTTTTACAACTGCAATAAAAACAAACTTACCCGATAAAATGCAAAATATCAAAACGTGTTGTCCGAGAAATTTTTTAAACTTACGAACAATTTTAAACTTTTATGTAAATAATATATATAAATTTATTTTTATTTTTTTAATATATAAATTTTATATTGTATAATATTTTATATAATATTTATATACATATATTTTTATAATATTTATGTACATGTTTCTCGCAAATATGATTATGATTATGTTTATTTTTCTGTAATATTGTTTTTGTAATATTTATCTTTCTTTTTAAATTTTATTTTTTGATTTAAATGAATGTAAAAATTGCAAGTGTAAAATTCAAATTGCATTTAAAAGTGCAAACTTCATTGACGCGATCGACAATGACAGTATACTGATAGAAATCAGAGATCAGAGAAAGATGACCTTGGCTTTTGCTACTTTTAAAGCAATTTAGTATTTCAAGGTAAAAAGATGGCTTTGTATCTTTTCTCTCTCTCTCTCTCTCTCTCTCTCTCTCTCTCT